AGCCGTCTGTACCCTGGTGCACCTTATCTGATAACAAGATTCTCTTTCTGATCAATATTCTTTCCCTTTGGATTTAATTATCATGCTGTCCTCTGGCTGCTCCCAGGACTGGTCCTTGTGTCCAAAATGGCATCACTTCTCAGTGCTAATCTGTTTTTAAGGGTATGAGTCTCTAAAAGGAGAGGAGGAGGGCCCTTTGTGTGTGGGGGGGTTGTGCGCGCAAAAGCCAGTGCTGTATTGAATGGTCTTGCATTAGCAGGCATGATGGTTGGCACATATCTCTCTCCTTTCCTGCAGGAACATTTCACACCGGAATGCAAGTTCAAAGAATCGGTTTTTGAGAATTACTACGTTACTTACTCCTCCATGATCTACAGGCAACAGCAGTCTGGGAGAGGCTGGTATCTGGGCCTTAACAAAGAAGGCGAGATCATGAAAGGAAACCATGTGAAGAAAAACAAACCCGCAGCACACTTCCTCCCCAAACCATTAAAAGGTAAAATTGCCTGAACTGAGTTTAGCATGCATGGAAAACAGGGGGTGTCCTTGCAGCCTCCATCAGCATTGACTGAAGACTGACCATAGATTTTCTATTCTTTTAAAGCTGATGGTGGGATGATCATTTCTTAAACTGTTTACAGGTTCCCCTGTGGCCTGTGATGTGCACACACTTGACCCTTGCCCCCGCCACCCCAGTTGTCTCAGCAGCAACAGGCTTTGCAGGGGTTCAGCATGTTTGAAAAACTTGCAGATCCTTTTTGAACAAAGGCAGCAGCAACATGGAAATGCTAAGAGTGTAAACCACAAGTAGCTCTCTCACGTGCCACCTGTGGCTCTCTCAAAAACTGCTGGCTATCTTCAGACTCTGAAAAAGAACTATAAACCTAGGCAGCATTCCCTTTGTGTGTAATTTGTTTCTTTTCATTTTCCCACCCTGCCTGTAGGAGCTTACAGTCTAAATTTTACCATTACTCTGTAATGTTTCAAGGTCACTGAAGATGTAAGCACTTTGGGGGGGCCACTATCATAAGAAATGCCTTGCTGGATCAGACCAGAGGTCCATCTGAGCCCACATCTGGTTTCCAGCCTGAGCAATCCAGATGTGCTGCTAGGAAGCTCAGAGGCAGGATGTGAACACAACACTCTCCCCATTCGTCTTCCCACAACTAGTATTCAGAGGTATACTGCCTTTGAACCTGGAGGTTCAACTTAGCTATTATGGTTAATTCATTTACTCCCCTTTGAAATCCATCTAAGCCAACTCCTATGTGTAGCACCAGGGAATCCCATACATGAATTACGCATTGTAAAAAGATCAAGTAACAGGAGAGTGGGTGGGAAAACTAAGGTTTGAGTGTGTGTAATTATTTCTGATCACATCCATTCCTTGTTCTCTTTGCCTGTTCCCTCCCTTTGATGTACCCTCTCCTATAGTACTCTGTAATGTTTCAAGGTCACTGAAGTCAAAACAAACCTAGAGTTTTGTGGCACCTTACAAGTGGACAGGTTTGTTGTGGCCAAAGCTTTTGAGGACTAATGCCCACTTTATCAGATGTATATCAGTTGACAGATCATACATGGGCTCAGAAAGAAAAGGTGGGGGGGAGCAGGTCAAAATGCAGGAAGTTCAGTCTGTGACATTTTTATGTATGGCTTAATAGAATAAGAACAGTGACTATTTGTAGGAGCAGTAATCACTATTACATCTAATTGAGCCTTGAAGAGAAATGTCAGAGGGGGACCCTTTGCACTTCCTTATCACTGGACTCCACTGGTCACAAGTCTTATTCTGTCTATACTGGTTGCCTGTTCCTTATGTTATCTTCGCACCAACCCTTTCAGGGAGTTTCAGGGGGCAGTCATGTTGGTCTACAGTAGAACAGTTAGATTTGGGTAAAATACCATCTTAGAGACCAACAAGATTTTCAGGGTATAAGCTTTCAAGAGTCAGAGCTCCCTGTGACTCTCGAAAGCTTATACCCTGACAACCTTGTTGACTTCTAAGGTGTCATTGGACTCGAATCTAACCTTTCAAGGAGGGAACTGACTTGGACCGTAATGGGATTTGAACCTAGGTCTCCCTAGTCGAGTGCTGTAATCACTACACTGTGCTGGCACACAAGTACATACAAACTACATGCATGCATGTGCAAGCGCTGCCCAACTTGTTTTCACTGGGGTGCACATCTAGGAGGGAAGCCCTTATTACCAGGCAGGGAAAACATTAAGCCCCTGTTGGAAGCAGCTGCGAGGATGGATTAGAAGGGGAACACTAAACAACTTGGAGAGTCCCCCCACACACACACCATCATCTCTACCAGTCGATGGTCTCTGTGTTCTACCGAGCCCCAGCAAATGCTGCAGTATTTGGTGAAGTTTGGTTTAGTACATAAAAAAGCAAAACAAAATGCAGTGAAGCTGTGCATCTCTGCAAGCATATTTTACACTATAAAATGTAAGAGATTTTAATTATAATCCGTTTTGGTCGAAAAGCAGGGTATAAATATATCCAATATCTGCCAAAGGATGCCCCTTCTAGAATGACCTTAGATATATATTTACAACCATCCTCCAAAACATCCCAGGAAGATTAGAGGAATGGTATACCACCTTCTTGCAGACTTTGAATCTGAAACCTTGGGTAGAGATTCTGTGTAGCTGCCAGAGTCTACCAAGGTACAGTGTTGATCCAGTGACACATATTTGCTGTTTCATGTGTGTGTGTGTGTGTGTATTTTCTTCTAACTGCAAAGTGCTCTGCTTGGGGCTGTCCTTGAAGACAACCCAGAAATGACAACTGGCCAAGAATGCAGCAGCCCCACTGGTCTGAGGGGCTAGCCACCAGAAACATAGAATAAAATAGGTAGAATAGAATAAGAATGCAGCAGCTCCATTGGTCTGAGGGGCTAGCCACCAGAAACATTTGTTGCCCATTTTGAAGCAAGTATATTGGCTGCCGCTCAGTTTCCAAGTTCAGTTCAAGGTGTTGGTTATGACCGTTAAAGTCCTTCACAACCTGGGACTCCCATATTCGAAGGACCATCTCCTTCCATATGTCCCTGTGCACCAACGACAGTAACCAGGCAGCCACCTGTTGGTTATTCCACCACCTGTCTGGCATTGACCAGGTCCTTGGCCTTTTCTGTCATGGCTCCTGCTCTGGAATGGGCTCCCTGAAAGGGGGGGGGATCTCCCAGGAGATCTTCCACCTGTTTGCCAGGGCTTTTAAGGCCTCTTTTGAGGGTGGAAGGATATGGGACTTTGGTTTTAGCTGGGGATGTTTTAACTATTATTGTAAACCACCTTGAATGAAGAGGAAAGGTGGGATATAATTGTTTGAACAAATAATAAATAAACCACTCTGTAAATGCATGCTTCATTCTGCTGATCCATGACTGTAATAAATTATTGATTGATTGAGCTGCCAACGGAAGACACACTTTATGCATCTCACAAAATGGGCTCCAGCCAGCCCAAGCTTCTGGCACAGTCAACATCCGTATCCATAAGATGCCTTTTTGTGTTTGCTACACAAGGCTAACACAATATAACAATGAAACAGGAATCTATCAGAATCTAACCTCCTCTTTCTTTCTGATTTGTGTCCCCCTGCAGTGGCCATGTATAAAGAACCCTCCCTCCACGATCTTACAGAATTTTCACGGTCCGGCAGTGGAACCCCAACAAAAAGCAGAAGTGTCTCAGGAGTCCTAAACGGTGGGAAATCCATGAACCAGAACGAATCGACGTAGCCAGGTTGCAGGGGGAGCAAGTGGAGAGATGCATCAATGGAACCTTACCTCTGGAGTCACAGTTGAACCCTTCCTTAGCAGTCAATCATCCAAACGTTCCGTTCCAGACAAGCCGCCGAACTTGCATAGGGTCATGTGTCTTACCAAGCCATTAGACCTGGTTGTTAAACAACAACAAAAAAGTATTTTTTTTAAAGGAGAGAGATCCAACATAACATAGAATATGCTTGTGCAATCTTACAAGGATAGTCAAACATAAATTGCGGCATAAAATTGCAGAGAAGAAATATCCATCTCACTCT